ATCATTGTTGAATCTCGTTTTGAAACGGTTGTTCTTCCATGACTTTTTACATCCTTACCATGGGTGGTTGACGGGTGCTCTGGTGCGGTTTGCTCCTTTTTCCCCTTTCAGACGTCTCCAACTCTTCTGCGTGAGACTCCGTCGTACGTTACTTTTCAAAATGACGTATGGTGGAGTCTTACACTAAGCAGTCGATAACTTCGTCATCCGAGTACAACAACCCTTTATCCCACCAATACAATTTTACAGGAGAAGGAAAAACAACTTTATCAGTTCATCTAGCAATGGGCAATGTTTGTTATAAATCAAAGTTTGAACGTTGCACTGGCGATGTTTATTGAGTCACATGTCAAAACATTTGACACAAAACCCGCAACGTTACATTTAGTGGAAAAAAGGCACTTGAAAAAGTGGTTTTTGACACATAGTGTGGGTTACTGGGTTGTTGTACTGAGGCAACGACTTGTCTTTATCTCTCCTCCTTCTTTTCTTTGTATATTAATCTCTAGTAACACCTCTAATAATCTACAAATCTTATACAATGTATTTTTTTTGCTTGAAAGTGCTGTAAAACTGTCACTAATTCTAAAACAACCTTTCTGTTTTGCATTTTCCAGGTGATCACGGTCATCTGTGTGGCTGTGTGGGCCATCAACATTGGCCACTTCAATGACCCCGCCCACGGTGGCTCCTGGATCAAGGTACGTAGCAACAGATTCTCCAAGCTGCTTCATTAAGTCAATTATTATAAGTGAGGCAGCGTGGTGGAACCAGGCTCTCGTCAATTTTTGAGCATGTAGAGTTATTGGTATCGCCTTAAAGCTTGTTCCTTTGTCTTTATTTGGATGAAAGAAATATCCATTTACCTTGAATACAAGTCAAGATATTTGCGAAAGAAGGAGGTGGGGGTCGCCTGTTTTCAGAGGTAAAATTATTGAGAAAATGGCTGCCAAAGATTAAGTATTTCCTTAGCTTAAGATTCCGTGGTAACTGAAAATTTACATTCTTTTTGCCTTTTAGTCAACGTTTTTCAGAAAAATCCACACAGAAATGAGTTCTTTAATGGGCATGAAAGGTGTTGAGCCAAAAAACAAAAAATTGATAAAAATTCACAAACCTGCTGAAAAATGCAAGTTTCTTCACTTTGATTATTTTGACGAGAGCCTGATTCCACCAGGCTGCCTCACATAGTCTATACAGGTTCACGTTGGTGAATAATGATGTGAAGTAAAAAGTTGAATAATTGGATAGGTTTTTTTTTGTGGTTTTTAAAAAGTGTGTTGTATTTTGTGTGCAGTTGTAAATCTAAGGTGAAAAAAAAAAAGTGGCTGGTTGGTGGGTGCTCTGGTGTGGTTTGCTCTCTCTGTCCGCAATGCGCTATCATCTATGTGGTGGTAGTTTGGCCTGTCGGTATTATTTTTATCAAACGTCTATCATCCTTTTCGCTTGCCCTTCTTT